GTGATATTAATATTCAGTATTCCTCTGCATCACAAAGTTACCATGGGTGAAAGATCAACAACAAAGGAGTTAAAGAAAATGTCTAAAACTCAGGATTCATGCTTATACAAACATATAAGTTATAACTATGATGTTTGTTAAAAGGATACATTAATCAGAATCGTCTAGAAATCAATCACAAAAGAAGGCAGACTAAAGAATATGAACTATTACTGCTATCCATGCATAATACACAGAGTTTAGGAAATGAAAAGTGTAATCTTCATTGAATAATGAAGAAGAACACTATTCCACTTACAATGGGAATTCAAATTCCCAAGACAATCCTCTTCTAACCCCCGCAACCACCCCGCGCCCCACAAAACTGAATTTATATTTTCTTATTGCAATTCCATACTCCTGTAACCAAAACTCTAAGTAAATCATTTAGGTCCAATACGACAGTTAAATTCAGAAAGATCGAGAATCAGAACAAAGTTGGGTAGTGAGACAAAAGGATCTGTTTAGGTGTCAATTTTGTAATAGCAACTTAATAACGAACATTATTACTTCTCAGTTACTTTTAAAATTGAAGAGATTATGGATATATATATATTCTAGAACAAGTTCAATAACAGAGCAACAAACATATAATTTTCAGAGGCTTCAATCAAACATTTATATAGAGATATTAATAAATTCGATCATTTATTCGTGAACCTGACACATTGTTTAGAGAAGATACCACCAACCTCAAAACCATGTGCAGAAGGACAGTTCTTCTACTATATATAAGCACGTTCTTTTAGTTTAGAACAGACAAAAATGGTAAGCAGAACAATGCATCAAACACTGACCAATTTTAAAGATTTCATACAAATAAGACTTTTCTTCAACTGATGCCTACTAAAGAAGTTTGAAACAAAAAAATGCACATCAATTCTTGGAGCCTTATGACTATGAAAAATCATGAAGGGTACAATTAGCACTAAACCAGTCAACAAGGATGCAAATAATCCAGATGAAAGGAACACGAACGCACCCATGAGGGAAGCCTCCAGCAAGTGAGTTCTCCACAGAACTTGATCCATGGGCGACATCGTTCCAAGTTTAGCACCTTTGTTCTGGATCTTTACAATGCTCATGAGACTTGAAAGGAGAATCACAGACATGGTACCTGCAATAGTTTTTACTGTAGCTGGACCCTTACCCATCTTCAATTGATCCAGGCTCTTTATAACAAGATCTCTCAAGGGTCCTATCTTCACCAACAAAAGAAATGCCAGAACCACCTCAGCAAAAATTACCAAGAACAAAAGCTGAATCATCCTTTGCTCCCTCAACTAAAACAAATGCTTCCCACTTCACTACAATTGCAAAATCCTTACTTTTTTCCAAATAGGGTGATATCGCTTACGGTTTGAAAATTAAAATCCACCCCACAAGCAAACTCATGCTCCAATATGAAAAGAACACAAGGCTACCCTTGAACTGAATTGAAGGAAAGACCCTCCTCAAGTCACACTCACACAGACCCTTTTATCCCTTTGCTGAAACTGAGGCATCCACACAATGACCCACATGAATGTGCAAACGAAATACGAATATCCAGCATCAAAGCTTGAGTCTTTACATGCAATAGTTTCGAGGGAACAGGCTCAAAATTCTTTGCAAAGGAGATGTCTTTAAACCCTTTAGAGAGAGACTTGTTCGTGTAGAGGGTTTGATCTGAGTATGCGAAGGTTCCAACAATGGGTTTGGTACATTGAGAAAGGAGTTAAGGAACAAAAAAAAAAAAAAAAAAAAAAAANGGAGACTGAGGAAGCTGAGACCGAAGTAGACCGGAAACAAATGGAGATGTCCGTTTTCTCGGCTGGAGGCCTCACTCAGCCAAAAATGATGAAGCCGAACGGTTTGATAGGGGGCCGAACGAGTATGGTTTTGACCGACAGTGGAGCCAGCCACAATTTCATAGGCAAGGGACTGGTCGAGGAACGGGGTTTACCCATGGAGGATACCCAACCATACCAGGTGAGCTTGGGGGATGAGCAGAGGAAGAAAACCAACACGGACCGAACAGTTGAAGATAGCGGGAAGGAACCGAACGGTAGATCGAGGGTTGCCAAACGGTCCGAGGTCAAGCGCAATATCCCAGGTGAGGTTGTCGAGCGATCCGAGACTGAATTAGACCTGAAGCAAACGGAGTTGTGCACTCTCTCGGCTGGAGGCCCTATTCAGCCAAAAGCGATGAAGCTGCACGGTTCGATAGGAAACCGAACGGTGTTGCCCGTTAAAGGACGAAACCGCACGGTGTTGCCCAATATAGGACGAAATCGAACGGTATTGACTAGGGTGTTCAATCAAGGAGGGAAGAAGGTATTCAGCAAGGGGGATCCAACACTAGCTAGAAGGTGGGGGGAGCCAGAAGCTTTGTTAAAAATAAAGGAAGTAGAACCGTGGACCTTGGTGTTGGATTTGGGGGTGATAGGAAGGAAAGAGAAAGAATGGAAGATAGTGGAGGAGGAATTGCCACCACCTAAGCCTCCCGACCTGAATTGGTGGGCAGTAGCCAGTGGATTCTCTTCAGATGATAACAAGATGATGAAGAGGAGCCAAGAGACCAAGTTTTTCGATTTCAACCTTGAGGACAAGGTTGTTCTGCAGGGGGATGTAATGTTAGGATATAGGATGATAGAATAGGTGGGTTTAGGAGTTAAGGGTGTGGGGGTGTCGGTTGTAAAAGGGGTAGTGGGTCAGAGCTGATATAAATAGAGCTCTTGTAACTCTGTAGAGGATTATCGGGTATTATTTTGTAAAGTCAGGTTTAGCCTGTAGAGAGAGATTATGCTCTCAACCAGGGAGGTTATGCTCCCAATCCCATTCTCTGTAAAGTGACAATTCTACTATTGTGAATAAGAGAATCCATTCTTTCATCTCTATTATCTGTTGTCAGTGGGTGTTATTGTTTGGGTTTCATCTCTTTTATCGGCATCGAGAGGGTGTGTTGTTAGGTTCCAAACCCAGGAACCTAACATAGTGTCAATCCCTTATATAAGTTAGGTTCATGTCTCATTGGTGTTGTGTCTTTGTGGTGATTCTCTCTCAAAAAGACTCATCACTAACTACAAACTACTTGTAACTACATCAAATAGCTTTATTTCCATTTCATTACTTGTTCTCTCAACTTATAGGAACTTGGTATTATGGTGTGCCCATCTGTATTTGATGCTTGGTGGAGTATCTAAATATTTGGCTCTCCCCCTCCCCTGCCCCCTAATAGCTAGCTTTAGAGAGTAGTTTCCACTATTTCTTGGGTATTTATTAATTGTTATCTGAGCTGGTTGCCCATGTATTAGGGGTGGTGTTATGATAGGAACTTGGGATTGTGAGGTGCCCAAGTCCCACACTGAAGATCAAGGGTGGATTTCACAATACTCGTTTTTGATCTTTCTACCATTTTTCAAATCTTGCTGCCCTTATAACAGGTCCAAACATGTGGGCCAACCAAGCCCATCACATGTTCAGGTCAGACCAAAAATGAATTTTCTTTTACGATGGATCAAAAAATTTGACCTGACCTCTGAACTCTGAATGGTTTCCTTTGCTCTTTACAAGTCAACAAGATTGATGGGGTAGTGTATGTCCCATATTGATTTTGAGCATGGTTGAAGTAACTTCTCCACAAACACTTATAGGAGAGAGAAATAAGAAAAAAATGAAATAAACTTTTTCATACGCTAAAATTAGTTCGTGCACAAGTTAAAATAAGAAATTGGAAAAGTAGTATGAGAGCCCTTCTACAATTAGTTTATGCACAAACTAATTTTAAACTAATTTCATTTTCTTTTCTCCTACAAGTGTTTATGGAGAAGTTTGTCGAAACATACCCTTTGTGTTGAGGAACTACCATTTACAGAAGATCAACCCACCCCTAATGTCATTGCTATTAAGAGTAAGCTCTCATATACTAATGTTATATTAGAAGAATATTAATAAGTTTGTGATATTAATATTCAGTATTCCTCTGCATCACAAAGTTACCATGGGTGAAAGATCAACAACAAAGGAGTTAAAGAAAATGTCTAAAACTCAGGATTCATGCTTATACAAACATATAAGTTATAACTATGATGTTTGTTAAAAGGATACATTAATCAGAATCGTCTAGAAATCAATCACAAAAGAAGGCAGACTAAAGAATATGAACTATTACTGCTATCCATGCATAATACACAGAGTTTAGGAAATGAAAAGTGTAATCTTCATTGAATAATGAAGAAGAACACTATTCCACTTACAATGGGAATTCAAATTCCCAAGACAATCCTCTTCTAACCCCCGCAACCACCCCGCGCCCCACAAAACTGAATTTATATTTTCTTATTGCAATTCCATACTCCTGTAACCAAAACTCTAAGTAAATCATTTAGGTCCAATACGACAGTTAAATTCAGAAAGATCGAGAATCAGAACAAAGTTGGGTAGTGAGACAAAAGGATCTGTTTAGGTGTCAATTTTGTAATAGCAACTTAATAACGAACATTATTACTTCTCAGTTACTTTTAAAATTGAAGAGATTATGGATATATATATATTCTAGAACAAGTTCAATAACAGAGCAACAAACATATAATTTTCAGAGGCTTCAATCAAACATTTATATAGAGATATTAATAAATTCGATCATTTATTCGTGAACCTGACACATTGTTTAGAGAAGATACCACCAACCTCAAAACCATGTGCAGAAGGACAGTTCTTCTACTATATATAAGCACGTTCTTTTAGTTTAGAACAGACAAAAATGGTAAGCAGAACAATGCATCAAACACTGACCAATTTTAAAGATTTCATACAAATAAGACTTTTCTTCAACTGATGCCTACTAAAGAAGTTTGAAACAAAAAAATGCACATCAATTCTTGGAGCCTTATGACTATGAAAAATCATGAAGGGTACAATTAGCACTAAACCAGTCAACAAGGATGCAAATAATCCAGATGAAAGGAACACGAACGCACCCATGAGGGAAGCCTCCAGCAAGTGAGTTCTCCACAGAACTTGATCCATGGGCGACATCGTTCCAAGTTTAGCACCTTTGTTCTGGATCTTTACAATGCTCATGAGACTTGAAAGGAGAATCACAGACATGGTACCTGCAATAGTTTTTACTGTAGCTGGACCCTTACCCATCTTCAATTGATCCAGGCTCTTTATAACAAGATCTCTCAAGGGTCCTATCTTCACCAACAAAAGAAATGCCAGAACCACCTCAGCAAAAATTACCAAGAACAAAAGCTGAATCATCCTTTGCTCCCTCAACTAAAACAAATGCTTCCCACTTCACTACAATTGCAAAATCCTTACTTTTTTCCAAATAGGGTGATATCGCTTACGGTTTGAAAATTAAAATCCACCCCACAAGCAAACTCATGCTCCAATATGAAAAGAACACAAGGCTACCCTTGAACTGAATTGAAGGAAAGACCCTCCTCAAGTCACACTCACACAGACCCTTTTATCCCTTTGCTGAAACTGAGGCATCCACACAATGACCCACATGAATGTGCAAACGAAATACGAATATCCAGCATCAAAGCTTGAGTCTTTACATGCAATAGTTTCGAGGGAACAGGCTCAAAATTCTTTGCAAAGGAGATGTCTTTAAACCCTTTAGAGAGAGACTTGTTCGTGTAGAGGGTTTGATCTGAGTATGCGAAGGTTCCAACAATGGGTTTGGTACATTGAGAAAGGAGTTAAGGAACAAAAAAAAAAAAAAAAAAAAAAAGCAGAATTGAGTTAAGCATTTGAACAGCACCGCGCCTCGTGTGAACGTGAATTCCTGTGTTCGTGACATGTCAATTTTCTCTTTCAGTAAAATGAAGAAAAAAATTAATTAATTTTTCAATATTTCTACATTTTCGAACTACTAGTCTGCAATTCGTAGAGAGACATTAATAAGGCCTCAGTTAATATATATTATTCTTCCTTTTACTACATACCCACGTAAATGGTGGTAATTGAAACAGAAAGAGATAAAAGAGATGGAAAAGGGTCTTCTATCAATTTAGTTGAATCTGAAAATATGATATAATTTAAAAAGGCAAAAAATATATTAGTGAATTGAAAAATTAAATTATAATATATTTGTAAGATAACATGTGTATCTTTATTGAGATTAAATATATTAGTTATCAACTTAGTTTTCATAAAAGTATGATTGAAAAAATTGAAATATCTTTTTAAAACTATATGTTGGTTTATTATGTGCTTACTATAACTTTCTCTGTTTTTTGCTAATTTTATTTCTATAAGAAAGTACATATGTCATGATAAGTAGACTCTTATTGAATTTTTTAAAAAAACATCTCTAATGTAGGAGTCATAGTCTAGGATTTTAGGATTGTGAGTTTAAAATTTGAATCTTATAATATTGGACATGTTGCCATGGCATAAAATTTAAAATCATAAGTTTCAAGAATAAGTAGTTGTTTTTTATTTATTTTAAAAACTATTTCTTCTATCAACATATAAATAAAAATTATTAAAGGGTAGGTTTTATAAGACTTTTGTTTTGAAATAAAAATGGTAAAGAAATCTAAAAAATATGAAACCTAGTGAGAAAAAAAAATATTAAATCATCTTGAGATGACTCTTGAACTAGAGATGATTTTAGTGGAATATTCATCATTTTATTAGAGATTAAACATAAGGATAGAAAAATAGATCATGCCCAACAGGTCAACTCGTCAATCCATCAGAAAAAAGGTGGGTCAGGCCAGAATCTTGAACTTGTGAGCTTGTATTAACGTTGCTCATTTGACTCGTTAGTATGTTGGTTCGCAAAATAGATTGGTCGTGAGTTGACCCATAACTTGTTTTACCATGTGAAAGTGAAGTTGAAGATCAAGTGTATAAGGGTTAGCCTGTGACCCATATCATTCTTCTCTTAACTCATTTCACTCACTCACATACAACATCATCAACACAGAGAGAGCACGAAAGAAAGACAATGTGATAAAATCCAAACAGAACGCGAGCAACGTTGGTACTCATGGCAATAAACACCACTGCTTGTATCCAATGTTCGCGCGAAGTGATTCTTCTTCCTCTTCTTCCCATAATGCATAATGCACATGGAGACAACCACCACACCCGCAGACGCCACCAGTGACACAATTGAGAAAATCTTCACTGTTGCCACTAGTAATGGAGAGTGTCGTTGGTACCACTAGCGAAATGTGTTGATCTTACTTCCACACACTCTTCAAATCTCGTGGCTCAGTTGCTTCCTCACCACCAATTTTCTTCCTCCAATGATCCTCGCATAACCATCGATCATCATCCACACCACCTATCACCAGACGTTGCCTCTTTCTTTCCCAACTTTTTTTTTCTATTTCATTTTTAGAATCCTAGTGAAGTGAAATATGGTGATTAAAGGACGGTTAGAGAGTCGACCCGTCAACTTGTCCATGGACGAGATAAATTTCATTTTCTGACCTATGCTTTGTTAATGACTTGGCCTGACCCAACCCATTTTCATTAGGCCAAAACAGGTTGAGTTGACCCATTTTATCACCCCTAATTAAGCATGTTGAATTTGTTGACTATCCTAAGTTTGGATGATAACAAATATTATTACTTTTGTGCACTTTAATTATGTTATGAAGTATGTATATAAACCTTATATTTCCTTAATTTTGTGTCAAGTATACACAGTTTTGGTTTTACATGAAATCATGAAAAGAAGAAACTCACATTCAAACATTCTAAACATTTCTTAATGACTTTCTTCAAGATAAGCTTAAGCCTTTATCTAAATGATGAATGTCAAGATGAATAATATAATAGCTCTAAAAATATATATCATTAAAGAATAAGATTCACTAACTTTCTATTGTGGAAAAAACCAATAAGAAACTTTTTACACCCGTTTTATATATGTTATTTTATCCTTCATCATTTATTTCTCCTTACAAATACAAAAGTAAATTTTAATGGCCATATTACCATTAAAAGTGGGTTGTCAAGTCATTCTTAAAGTGCCAAAATATCATTTCTCTTTTATAAAAGGTGCTCGACTTTTCTAAATAGCAACACATAAGTGTCATCAAAGACTATTGATATTGACATGATAAATAAGTTTATTTGAGGTTGTTTATGATATACTTTCTTAATTATCTTATAGTATGTGCCTAATGCATCTTACTTGTGTAAGTTGTCTTGTGTGAACCAAGTGTCAAATTAAGTCTAATATCAAAATTGTGCAAATTGAAATTGTTCACATAAAAACCAAGATGAATAATAAACAAAAACACAAAGTTAAATGAAACAAATATGTTATTTGTATAACAAATTAAAAATATGAAATTCTAGAAAATTTTTAAAGTAATTTGATTATTTAAATTTATAGAATTTCAATTCTACCTAAAGAATATGAATTTAAGTTCTTCATACATTTTACTCTCACATGTTTGATCTTTTTTCTCTTCATACTTTTTAACTAAGGTGTCATTAGCTTACTCTCACCCAAGATGTTGTCAACCCAACCTTGGCTCTGCTACAACATCTTATTTTCAATGTTATTTTTGAACAATTGTATCCCTATGCACATGGTTTTACCCCTTTGTAGCCTCTTCCAAAAGAGTTTTGACGAAAACAATCACTTAGGCTTGTTAATCTTATATATACATGATTTTTTTCATATGAATCTTGTAATGTATGTCTTATGCAAGCTTAAACCTTTTAGATAATCTATTCTTCTCATTAGACAAAGTTAGTTTGATCTATTTATAAAGTGCATTAATGTTAGATGTAGCAAATTGTGTCAAGTGAAGAAAAACATGTAAGATAAAATGTATCAATGTCAAATGAAGCAAAGTGTGTTAGATGAAGCACACCGACACATTCATCAATTTGATTGTCCTTCTTGAAGCTTCAAACAATTTAGTAGAATACATCCATGTTAATCATGTCTTGTTTAAAATGTTATCAAAGTCATAATCACAAAATGTTTTGATATATTTAATTGAAATTATCTTTTGAAAAAATAAGCACCTGTATACATGTAAAAAGAAAAACTAGAAAGAATTTTTATTATATCTTTACAATATTCATATTAGAAACTCAAAAGGGAAAATTTGAAACACAATACACCTTAATCTAACATTTAAATATTATTAATGTTATATTTGTTATGTGTTTGAATTATGTTTTTTCTTCAAATAGAATATAGAAGCTCATTTTGATTAAGACTTTCCATATTAAGCTTTCAGTTAATGAATTTCAAAGAATACAATGAGAAGTAACTCATAATGTTATCAGGTATGAATATTTTTGTTGAAGTAATAATAATCTTTAAAGACTTATAAGAAGGCATCATGATCAAGACGGTAGAATACAAGATCATAATAAGAAAATGCAAGTATTATACAACTTTTCAGTGATTATTAGATTTTAAGTGTTCATTATGAGTAAGTGAAAAATTGTGTTTTTCACTAGGTGAAGTTATCATGTGAGCTTAAATTGTCCTTTCTTTGAGAGTTTTTTTTTGTTATTTTGTAAGCTATTAGTTTGGAGGGGAGATATGAAAGAATGATTTATGTTCTCATATAGCTAGAAGTTTGGTGTACTTGTAACCATGTATAGTTTGTGTACAATTAATTAATTTGATTATTAAGACATATTAAGCAATTGTTTTAAAATAGATCTAGACATAACTTATGAGTTTGGGTGAACTAATATAATTTTGTGTTTTATTGTTGTTTGCTAGATGGTCTAGTCTAGAATAAAAGTTCAGAAACTTTATTCAATCACCTTTTTTATAGTTAATTGTGTCAACACCAACATCCTTTTCATGGGATAAAAATAACTTTAAATTGAATCATTTTTATATAAATTTTGATTTTTTATGTGAATTATATATGCAAAATTTGAAGAAAAAAAATATTATTGATTCAAATATTAGATTGAAAATTTTCTTATATTATTTAAATGTATTATGGTGTAAAATTTCATAACNATATATTGATTATAATACAAATTAATTACATTATCTAAAATAAAAATTTGAAATTTAAGAAATTTGAATCGACGCATTAAAAAAATTTAAAAAAATGGAAAATTTAAAGATAAGCAAATCCATTTTCTATCATTTCAAATTCTTTAAAACTTTTAACTTCCTGGTCTAAACATAATGTTAGGTCTTACTAATAGGATTAGATGGATTGATAAGGCCCAAATTGGATAAAGGCCCAAAATAAGTTAAGACCCACGAACACATTCACAAATATACGCACCTTTAAGGGAGAAGGAGAAGGAAAAGTTAGGGTAGAAAAAAAAAACAAAGAAAGGGAAGGAAGAGAAAAGGTTTGAACAAGAACAACGATCCTGAAACCCAAAGTCCATATTTATGTCATCATTGAGGTGAGTGCTTCCCTTTTCTTCTTCCAAATCTTGTTGTGATTTATTTTTGTGTATCTTTCATTTTCCCTTTCTCTTTCTTCCTAATTGAACATTTTAGTAGATTTTTATTTTACCAACTTGTTGAGATGTTTTTAAGTGTGAATAGTAGTTGAGTTTTCCAATAGAAGTGCTTTTGAGTAATTTATTATGTTTGAAACTAGTTAAGAAGCCTTAGATGGCTACAGGGAACCAAAATCACAAATGGTCATTATTTTGTAGAAATATGTGTCATGCAAGTTAAGATTTGTCGACTCAAAGTTTTCTAAGTTATGAATTTCTAACCTATTGTGAGAATGACTAAATGAAAATTCATTTTTTTGAAAAAAATTTAAATGGATTCACCTCTTAAGATTCATTAACATGAAATCACTCTTGGTAAACAAAAATGTACCATATGCATGTATGT